TAAATGTTATATCACTGTCTTCGATAAAGTTTTGTCTATCCATTTATGGTGGGTTTTTTTATTTTGGGGGTATTTTTGAATTTATTTACTTTAAAAAGTACCATATTTTCTATGTAAATTATGCTTATTTTTATGTTTTATTTATTTTTTTTACATTTTTTTAACTACATTAAAATATCATTCCAATAGGATCTTAGAGCTAAAACTTAAAGATGAAGTGACTTTACTGTAACCTGGTGTCTTATTTTGGCTTATTTTAGAGCGCTCTAAATTACAGTTTTTCCCATTCATTTCTATGGGTGCCCATTTTAGACCCAAATACAAGATTAAGGAGTTTTATTTTTTTCACTGACTTAACATTGTAGAATTGAGTCAAAAGAAAATTGTGTGTTTTCAGGTGGCAAACTTGGGAAAAGTAGCCAAGTCTTGATCAAGGGAAGTATTTTTTTTTTTAAATAAATAAAAACTATTTTGCTATCCAGAATACGGTTTTAGGGTTAAAGCTGCTGCTGGTACACGTCAAGGTTTTCTTGCGATTTTGCCGCCTGTCATGTGCACAGGTACACGTTCAAACCCAGATGTGAAATCAAATTGTATAATAGGCTATTGAATTTGCATACTGCCTATAACTTAATTGATTTTAAAGGGATACTCCACTTTTTTTGGAAATAGGGTCATTTTACAGCTCCCCCAGAGTTAAACAGTTAAGTTTCACTGTTTTCGAATCCATTCAGACGATTTTCTGATATTTAGAAGAATATCAGAAACCAGACAGTTTCTGGTCTCATTGACTTCCATACTGTGGAAGTCAATGGGGTCTGGTTACTGATGTTCTTCTAAATATCCGAAAATCGGCTGAATGGATTCATAAAATGGTAAAACTCAACTGTTTAACTCTGGGGGAGCTGTAAAATGAGCAGAGTATCCCTTTAATAAATGTCTGTCTCAGTATGGGGTTTGACTGTTTGATTCATTGATTAAGTAGACTGGATCACTTATACAGACTGTTGTTGTTGTTTTTTACTGTCTTTGTTAAACTAGTCAGTTACAAAATTCTAGTTCAAACGTTAATTAGTCGTGGCACACATCCCTATTGATAACGCATATGGTGTGAGGGTGTAAAAAAAAAACATTCAAAACACAACAGTTGTCTGCCGAACAGTCATGTTTGCATTTGGCTTTAAATATTGATGCAAATCAAAAAGGAGGCATCCAACGAGACCCGTACCGTACAGATGTTGAACGTACAGTATTCATGAGTGTGTTTCTAAGCTGATAAATATGATATCAGGCTTTGTGTGGTCTTAAAGTGAGGGGGAGAAGCCGGTCCCCAGTGTTGTTGCAGGTTCATGATTTCTAACCTGTTACCCACACAACACAGCCCACAGCCCGGGGAGAGCAGCCATCTTCCACACACTCCACCCACACACACACACACACACACACACACACACACTCAGCTGTGTGTCATGTCAGCTTGCACCCCCATACCCTGCCCCCACCCCCCCACATCAGCACCCTTTCTCCACCGTTCACACACACACAGTTGAACTACCCCCTCTTTATCTGTTTCTCCATCCCTCTGCACCATCAGCCACCTCCTCCCCCATATCTTGTCTCTCTGTGCAAATGTTCAGATTAACAACCGCAACCACCCTGAATAAACACAGCACTGCACTTACTTGTTCAACTAACTGCCTGAACCTCCCTCAAAATACACTTGCACATCCACACACACACACATGTTAAACATGTATGCTGAAACGCTAAAACAGTCAAAACAAACTCCTCCATTTAAAATGAAGAATAATTCGGCATATAAAAACAACATTCAGGGTTAAATACAAGTTCTGCGCTTTTAGAAGCGTCTACTGGATTTCCATAGAAAATGTCAACTTCAGTTTGTAGAGTCGGAACAGAAACTTGTGTTGACAGAGTGCACTTACAGTGGAAGTCTATGGGGCCTTCATATCAGTGTTAATTTCGTTGACGAAAATAATGCCGAAAATTATTCGTCAACATTTTTTCACAGACGAAAATGAGACGACAACTAAATAAAAACTAATTTTGAACGACAAAAACTATAACGAAAATCTATTGACATTTTCGTCAACAAATAAAAACTAGACGAAAATGTTAGATAGTGACGATTTAGGAAGCGATCCAGTCAGAACTGATGTCCTGCGTGAGTGGTAGATGCGCACATTTACTGTAACGTGCTGATCATAAAACGTTAAAAAATGAGAACGTCTGGGAGAATGAGTAGAGCAGACATATAGATATGAATAAGAGTGACGATGCAAAAAAGAGCTTTATTCGGTACGGTTATCCATAATTCTTCTATTAGTAATTCCTCCGTAATTCTTCTAAATAGAATTCTTCAATTCTAAATTCTAAATTAATGCATTACAATTTAACTAAACCCATTATATTTTAGTCGACTAAATCTACTGTAGAATTTCGTCGACTAAAACTAAAACAATTCAGATGACTAAAATATGACTAAAACTAAATTGCATTTGTGAATCTGGGAATGTGAATCTGGCAACGTTTTATTACATTGGTTGTTGTACGTATCGCAGCAGTTCGGAATTGAGTGGCTCTCAAAGGTTATTGGCGTTTTATTTATTTTTTTACTATCTACACTAAACCTTTACCATAAAAACTAACAGATAGAGTTAACAAAAGCACAGGTGAGATAAAGACGCATTTGCTGAAGGTTGGGTGAAACGATTTTGAATGCGTGATTGCTTTTAACTTTCGCTTTCGAATGCAATGCACAGTAAAAAGGAATAAACGTTCTACTGCTTCTAGTGTTTCTAAAATGTAGGTAGAGGCGCATTTTTCCATTGAGCCTATGTTGAATGATCCTCTGTGGTACAGCAAGCCGTCAATAGAGTTTAACTTGTATTTAATATTGTATTATTGAGTGCTGGACGTGGACAGATATGATGTTTCGGCTTCATCAAAACAGTTCCTAACACGGCGCTACTCTTTACTCTTATTTCAGTCCCTCTCTTCCCTTTACCCCACGCAGTAGGAACCAGTTCCCCTCCCCTGCTTTCTGTTGACACAATACAGCCACACCTGTGAGGAAGTCAATATGCATAGTGGACCAAATCCCCCTCCTGTCTAAAATGTTCACCCAGTTACACACATAGGGATTCTTTATTAAACAAAAACACCTGGACGCGACCCTGACTCGCAACACTGCCCTCTAGAATGAGAGCTCTTGCTAAAAAGAATACACATACAGTGTGTGCATGTATCGAAGAACACTAATGTACACATTTGACAGATGTTTGTGATTTAAAGCAGGTGTATGTGTGCACTCAATGGGAATCAAACCCCTGGCGCTGTTAGCAACACGCTCTACCTGTCAAACACACTTTACTCATTAAAGGAAGGTGAAAAAACTAGGGACGCACCACATTTTAGTGCTTAATAACAGTTCGGAACTATCAAAGTATATAACAGGTACAAAGAATGTATGCGGATCTCTCGTCCTGGATCGGTCAGTCCAGCACAATGATTCTAGGCTACCCCGAATGACTGTTTTCCATCCCAGGAGAACCTGTTCCTGACAGCACCGTCACACACAGACACCATCAACACACCACTAACATCAAGACAACAACATTTACAATCTTTACATCTAGACGTTAAAGATAAATAATGCCTTTTGTCGTGTTAATTGACTCATTGTTTCATTTAAATACAGGTCACAGGTGTCAAAGGTGAATTAGACCAATGAAAATGATCTGCAAAGGAAGTTGTCATGTTGGCTTCATTCTGTGTAGATGGGCTTGAGGACAGTTCCTTACATAACCAGATCTTCTGCTCAACTGACTCATTTTTGCACTGCAGACAGTCGCAATGCCATAATGTAACTTTAAAAAGCGTGATTTCACGTTCTTATATAGTTATGTTATTTATCAGCACGGTAAATTCCGCAACTAAATTCGTTAAGTAGCCTGACATTTATTGTCTGAACACGACATTTTCGCATATAGCTACAGTTATAAAACATTTCCAACAAACCAATCAGAAATCGGGTGCACCTGTAGCAAACAAGAGCGCGAGCAAGCGTCAAATCATCAATAGAGTGGTACGTTCTTTTGACACGCGCTGAACGATACATCGTTGCGCGTTACGCTCGATTCGAATGTATCAATTCCTAGACGCGCGTTCGAATTCATTGTTGACGTATATCTGTAAAACCGCTGATGGTTTGCCGTAGGCGAGTCAAACAAGTGGGGTCGCTCCCCTTAAAACCAACCCGTCAGCGAAGAGAAAATGGAGGAAGACGGAACTGACCAGCTTTAAGGGGGCAGACGGGGGAAAAAGAGACAATAATCCGAAGAGCAGCGCTCATGTCACCTAACGCTTTCCTCAGTGAAGACTCGAATACACTCCGCTCTTCTCAACTTGAGGGAAGTATTAGGCTACGAGCCCCTGGATTTAATTATGAAGGAAATAATATAATAGAAAAGTGTGTCCAAAAATAAAAAAAAATCCCCTTCCCTTTTCTGGTAGTAGGTTTAGGGTGTTGACGCAGCAGAAATTTCCAGCTGGAGAAATTCCCCTTTTGGAGGTTAAATGAGGGGAGGAGAGTGGGGTTAAGCCCTTGCCTGCCAAAGCTGAGCTTTTCATTTAAATACCATCACCACCAGCACATGCACCGACCCCCCAAAGGACATGCTTTTAGGATTAAAACTTATGGCAAATGTTGTAGCCTAATATAAATACTAGTATTAAGTTCTCAATGGTGAAATATTAAACACCCCGCGTCGAGACATAAAGAAAGTCTCCCATCACTGCAATAAAAGTATCGTGAATGAATGACTGCACATCTGACAGCTGTTCTCAGCGCGTGCATCATCTGTCACGAACATGTTCTCACCTGGAAACGTCAAACAGGTTGCTGTCACGCAGTCGACTTAATGACGTGAAATAAAACAAACACACCGGCCTCGCGGAAACTCACAACTTCAACTTACCTGGATACCTGCGTTGAGGAGCGAGCTCATGTCTATGCTGCCATACATACATCCAGATGACAAGTCAAGATTGTAAAAGCACTGAGAGTGAAGCCTGTGCGGTGGTCAGAAGAGCTGTTAGAGATAGTGTGGAAAGGTGAGAGAGGCATACCTGTTAACCCATGAGTTCTGGGGGGAGCGCGATGTCGATGCTTTGGAGCTCCAGTGTTTGCTCGTGACAGGTTTGAGAGAGTGTGCACGTCAACAATGTCAGCAGTCAGCTGGGAGACGCGCGTGTGTCGGTCAGTGTAATTCCCCTGCTCGCTGTCTCCCTCTCTCCACGCTCGGCTTTTTCTGTAATTCTCCCTCCCCTGCTTTTCCGTGTCTCGGTATCAGGAACCAACCTCCCCCTCTCTCTCTCTCTGTGTGTGTGTCAGAGAGAAAGAGAGTGTGAGAGAGAGAGAGAGAGAGAGAGAGAGAGAGAGAGAGAGAGAGAGAGAGAGAGAGAAGAGAGAGAGAGAGAGAGAGAGAGAGAGAGAGAGAGAGAGAGAGAGAGAGAGAGAGAGAGAGAGAGAGAGAGAGAGAGAGAGAGAGAGAGTCAAATACAGGAAATGAGGCAACATAAACGCTCACATTCACCATCGAACCCTGGACAGCTCCAGCTGAACTCAAGCCTCCAGGTCAATTATGAATATACAGAGGGCAACATGCCCACTTTATTATTACAAAGATGCTTAAAATGACAAGTGGAATATGGACGCTGAATTTAAATTTGATTTCATCCTTGCATACTCAAAACCAATCACTAAAAGCAAAACTAATTTGATTAAAATAAAATTACAATAATTTAATTAAAATAAATGTTATAATCCGAAGAATCCGCGTCAATTTGATATGCATGACGTGTAAATACAAAACTAATTTGTGTAATTAATACGTACACACACACACATTGAATCATTTGCAGACGCTTTTATCCCAAGCAACTTATATATGATGTTAAAATATGTAAAAAATAAAAAAATAATAATAAAATAAATACATATTGCTAATCCAATTTTATTATTCTCCCATTGATTTCTTTAAAACACGAATTGCTCATTTTAAAACTCATCTGTAGGAGCTGCGAGTGCCCAGTTCACAGGGCATGTGATGATTTTTCCTGTGGCTCCTGCTGAATTTGCATGAGGGGAGCGTCTGTGCGTATGGGCGCATGTAGGCGTCAGTGAGTGAGCGGCTGCTGCACGCTTTTGTCCACTGTGCGCGTTCTCGAGCGCGTGGACAGTAACACGCGCCCCCTAGCGGTGAGAACGGCGCCTCGAATTCGCCAACGCGGGCATGTCTCAATCACCTACGGACAAATGTAAATCACAGGATGAGGTTACTTTTGCTCGTTTTGTATATTCTCAGAGATACAATGAATTCTGCATGGCTTTACAGCAGTTCAGTGTTTTTGTTATTTGAATGTTGTCAGGTAACAGCCGGGGCATTTTGAATTGCACGTGTGCGTATTTGAGAGCTTAGGCCAGATCAGAATGTGTGTCAGGCAGAGTGTCTGTGTGGATTAAACACATTGACCTGTGGCAGGGTTCCTGTCTTAGGCTCCTGTGTACGCGTGTAATGCTGATGTTCTTTAGCCACTGTCTGCATCCGCAATCCGTGTCAAAATCAAGCTGCTTTTCTCCCTCGCTCCATCCGTCTGCCTGTCCATGTCTGCCAAGCTGCCTGCCTGACACAACATAGTCTGCCTGATTACGCCTCTTTTATCCTGCCACCTCTGAAACGCCACTCCCCTGCTTCCAGCAAGGGGCTCAAACTTCATTAGCCCTCTTACGTATTTATTCATTCATATCATGAGCACTCATCAAAGCCGGGCCAGAGGGACAATGGCCAAGGAAGGCCTCGCATTCACAGAAGCATAGGGAAGTGTCCAGACAACATAACAATCACATTATTTCAAAACCTCTCAACAAATGCACAGGCAGTCCTGCTAGAGCTAGAAACTCTAGGCTAGGAAAAAAAAGAACAAGGTTTTTGACAAATTACCCATGTGAAAAAGAAGTGCACTTAAGCATACTTTCAAAAAGAGTACTTAAAAGGGATACTTCAGGATTTAGCATTAGCATTAAAGGGTTAGTTCACCCAAAAATGAAAATTAAGTCATTAATTACTCACCCCCATGCTGTTCCAACCTTGTAAGGCCTTCGTTCATCTTCGGAACACAAATAAAGATATTTTTGATTGAATCTGAGAGCTAGATCAGTCCTACATAGACTGCCTAAGGGACTGGCTCTTGACGGCCCATAAAGTCATTAAAGAAAAGGTTTAAACATTCCATGTGTCTACAGCGGCTCAATTATAAGTTTATCAAGCGACGAGACTACTTTTTGTGCGAAAAAAACATAAATAACGACTTAATTCGACTATTCTATTACTTCCTTATGGGCGCATGCGCGAGAACATGAGGCGAGGACGTTCTCATTCGTCTACTTTTTGTTACCGGCTGCTCCGCTTAGGAGTATTACCGCCACCTACCGTATAAGATGATGATCCATAAGGCGCTCCGGATTATAAGGAACACTGTCGTTTTTTGAGAAGATTAAAGGCTTTTAAGTGCACCTTATAGTGCGGAAAATACGCTAATTGAAAAGCGTATGTACAGCGCGCATCTTCCTCTGCTTGTAAACAGAAAGTTTTGCGCTTCCAGCTATATGCACATCATCTTATACGGTAGGTGGCGGTAATACTCCTAAGCGGTGAGCAGCCGGTAACAAAAAGTAGTCGAAGGAGAACGTCCTCGTCTCAGTTCTCGCGCATGCGCCCATAAGGAAGTAATAGAATAGTCGAATTAAGTCGTTATTTATGTTTTTTTCGCACAAAAAGTAGTCTCGTCGCTTGATAAACTTATAATTGAGCCGCTGTAGACACATGGAATGTTTAAACCTTTTCTTTAATGACTTTATGGGCCGTCAAGAGCCAGTCCCTCAGGCAGTCTATGTAGGACTGATCTAGCTCTCAGATTCAATCAAAAATATCTTTATTTGTGTTCCGAAGATGAACGAAGGTCTTACGGGGTTGGAACAGCATGGGGGTGAGTAATTAATGACTTAATTTTCATTTTTGGGTGAACTAACCCTTTAAGCTTTGTATTAATTGAAACCTGTAGTATTTTCGAATTACCGTGCTTTCCACCCTCATGTTTGATGTGTGTTTTAACATTGCTAAGAAAATTCCCGCTCCTCCGTGAGAGATACCAGACCGGTGCGTCTCACAGGTGTCGCTCATCTGTAATAACGCCACCGGCCTCGCGCCGTTCTCCCGCGGCCCTCACTCGTCCTGCTCGCCACAATAAACATGATGAATGGCGACTATAGAACGCAAAAGCCGAATCCCGGACATTTCGGGAATCTTGATCTCGAAACACGTTTTCGGGCAGACTCATCACACAGACTCACCAGTAGCCCAGACTTGTTGTTTAACTACTGCGCTCTGTTACCAGTAGGCGTGGCCAACTAGGGCAGCGAAGCAAGTGCATTCTGGGAGTTGTTGTCTTTCATCCACATAATCCAAAAATACATTTTCTGGTTTTTCTCAGTCTAGAAAGCTCCAAATTCAAAAATAATTTCACATTTCTTCTACATAAATGACCCATTTAAAATACACATTCATCTTTCCAGAGGAGTATTTCATTAATATTACATTATTTGCAAGTACAGTTTGTTTTAAACATACTTAAAAGATTTGAAGTGCATGTTCAGTTAAGTGCACTTCTTTTTCACAAGGGCAGGCATCTTGTTGCTGCCTAAAAACTTTGTTATTTAGGCCACTACAAACGAATTTTAACTCATATACACTCAAACACATGTATGCACAGATCGTAGGTTCATAATTAAAAGAAAACACTCCCAGAAACGTCAGAACAGGAATTGAGAATGGAGTCCAAGTGCTGACATGTGTTTGAACTGTGACAACAGGAGGAGAAACATAAATAGCATCCTTACAAACTTTTTGAAGTCTGAAATTAATTGCATCTTTACTCCGGCCCCCCTACCGTGAAGCGCAATAATCGCTCACGTCAAACAAGCGGGAGCAATATATATATATATATATATATATATATATATATATGCATTAACTGTCATAAAAATAGCACGGATGGATTTCAAAGCACCGTCCCCCCACCTTTCACTATCAATTTGCCAGCGAGCCGAATAGTGCTCTGTTTCTGCCAGTCTGTCAGTGGATGTGAAGGGAGACCAGGTGTGTGTCTGTTCTATTCAGCGACGGTGCTGTTTTCTATGGGGAGTGCGGGGACGTGGTGTCCATCTAAAAGGTGCAATGTGACGATAATGGCAGTTGACAAAAACCAAAACCGACTTGTACACTAGTACTCGCTCTCAAAAAACAAACAAAAAAAAACTCAAAACAAACAAACCAAAACAACATTGGAATGACAGCAAAACAATGACACCTTCACAGGCATTATTGGGTGAATGGAAAAGAGGATGGATAAACTGAGAAAAGGGAAGTGAGAGGGGAATGTGTTGTATAGTAGATTAGATACGTGACAGACTATCAAACAACATAACAGCTCTTAGGTGTCTGCACGTCCATCATCGTCTAGTCTGGTCAAGTCTGATCTTGTCATCATGAAGCAGTGTTCAACACAGGACACTTTCACACCAGAGCGTTTGTTGTGAATTCAGGTCCACTTGATATTAGGTTTCAGTTCGTTTGGTATGGCATTGAAACCATAAACAAACAAACAAACAAACAAACAGTTTGTTTGGTTGGTGTAAATGCATTTTCTAACTTGTATGAACCAGCAAACCACACCTGAGCCTATTTTGAAATTGAGCTCAGAGCTGGTGTACAATTCATTTGGACTTGCAGTTGGTATGAGCACAATCTGGGCTAATTTGCACAAGTGAACAGCAATTATGTATTTGTTTGTTAGGCCTGAAACATCCTCTACTCAATTACATGAACACACTCTTTTAGCTACTATACAGAAGTGTTTTAGTGCTATGAAATACCTCAAATCGTGGCTGAGAGAGAGCTCAATGTGCTGCAATTGAAGAAAACAAGCAAAAGACCATCAAATTAAGAAAACATCTTCAT